TTTGAATGTATTATTTACACTCATCACTAAATTTTGATTAAGTCAGAAACAGAGGAAAAATGGCATTGTCTTCATAGGAATAGGCTGGATAATACTGCAGATGTGAAATGACAGTTTTAAATGTTTTATTTTATCATTTTAAGTGAGACTAAAGGGAACAGAACTTTGAACTTTTTATTAGGTTTAAATTTTAAAATAAAGTAGCAAAAAAAGGGAAGAAAAATCTATACATATAGCTCTCACCTGAGGGGAAATAATAAAAAGAGGACTATTTTAATTTGCTATTGTACAGATAGAGGCTGCAAATTATATGAGTTATCTATTCATTAGAGTAGACACAGGATGGCCTTTTTTGAAGCTGTAGACTGCCATTTGGTTCAAAGTACTATGAAACTCTTGAAAATAATTAAAATGTTTTTCTCTGAAAAAAATCTATACTTCAAACTGCCTGACAATTAGAATTAAACACTAATGTATTAAGATAGCAATGTAAATCATTAAAACTCTGAGGCTGTATCTCTCTGTAAAAATATAAAACATATCAATAATCCAGTAAACATAAAGTTTAAGAAATCAAAATGCAATTTACTTCCTCTTGCTGATATTTTCCCAGCTTATATTTCCTATGCAGCATCATATACATATATTAATTCTTTCAAACATAAACCAAACTCATAATATGAAAATATTTGAAAGTTATAAATCCAATTTGCTTACAAGTCCATTTAAATAAACTGTAAAATAATATTCTCAACTAAATACTTAGAAAGCAACAATGTCCTAGATTCTTTTGAGGATGCAGTTTTTCCCTAAGGAAAACTCTTGCCAATTTTTTAAAGTGGTTTATCAATCAGATTCCTTACCTAGCAAGAATAAAATGTAAAGGGGACAAAAACTCTGGAATTTAGCTAGAATTTAGTCTCACATTTTTGCATTCACTATATAAAAATAAGAGAAATCAAAATGCAATGTTTTATTTTGCCTAACTTAGCATGAAAATACATCCAAGAGGAATATTTTTAACCAAAGCTCTAAGTTATAAAGATGTAAAAGTGGTCTAGAATACATGAAATTCAGGGATAAAAATTTTAAATTTCATTTTAAACAATAGCTTCAATTCCCTTCTACACTAAATATTTTATGAGGAGCTTATACAAATGTTCTAGATCTTTTCCTCCTCCTCTGGATTCTTAAATTATTCCAGTATACATCTGAGAACATTCTATGTAAAATAAACTTTGTTAAGTATTTGCACATGATCTGGTTCACCTAGCATCAACCCTGTGATGAAATCCTCATGTTATATATAACTAAACAAGGCTTGGCAATAAGTAACTCATCCTTGTCAGAGTAACTCAAATCTGTCAGAGGCAAAGTCCATATCTGAATAAGGTCTTCAGACTACACCACAACTGTAGCTAATCACTTTATGTTGTAATCACGTGTTGCCTTACAATACATTGTACTATTAACTTTCACTGTTACTGTCTTAATTTTCCCTATGTTCATGTCTTTAAAAGCAACAGCTGTATTGTGCTTTGATATTTTACAGTATCTTTAGCAGATTGATTCAAGTTGCTTGTTTCATAGAAGAATTACAGCCTATAGATTTAAAAACTCTGTCTCACACTTGTTAAATGGAAATGACACCAAAATAATCAAGTGCTATTAAATGCTTCCCATGTATTAATTCATTTAATCCTCATGCCACCGCTATGAAATCGGTACATTGTTGTCCTATTTTGCAGACAGAAAAGCTACAAGCTAGATAGGTTATCTAACCTGCCCAAGATTAAGGTTACAAGCTAGTTACAGGTGAGGCTTCAAAAGCTAAGGTATTCCGTCTGGAGTGGTTACATGCTTAAAGTTAAAACTGTCCCTCAAGTCTGTGCGTGCATGTGTGCTAAGACACTTCAGTCATGTCCAATTCTTTGCACCCCTATAAATAGTAGCCTGCCAGGCCTCTGTCCACAAGATTCTCCAGGCAAGAAGACTGGAATGGGTTGCCTTGCCCTCCTCCACAGAATCTTCCCAAACCAGGGACCGAACCTGTATCCCTTTCATTTCCAGCATTGGCACGTGGGTTCTTTACCACTAGCGCCACCTGGGAAGCACCCCCTAAGACTACATAATGACTAAATGAAATCATGCATTCATACAGTACAAAAATTAAAAAAGTTTTAACTCTTGGCAATGATTTCTTGAATATGAAACCAAAGTGAAGTGAAGTTGCTCAGTCGTGTCTGACTTTTTGCAACCCCATGGACTGTAGCCTGTCAGGCTCCTCCATCCATGGAATTTTCCAGGCAAGAGTACTGGAGTGGGTTGCCATTTCCTTCTCCAGGAGGATTTTCCCAATCCAGAGATCAAACCCGGGTCTACAGCATTGCAGGCAGACGCTTTACCATCTGAGCCACCAGGGAAGTTCTAATGAAACCAAAAGCATAGGCAATAAAAGCAAAAATTGACAAATGGGCCCATATCAAAAGGAAAAAACTCCCGTGTATCAAAAGAAACAGCAGAATAAAAAACAACCTACAGAATGGGAGAAAAAAAAATCTTCAAATCAGACATCTTGTAAGAGTTTCCTAGCATGAGTGGCAAGAGTGGTTTAAAAAAAAAAAAAAAACCTGCCTGCTAATAATGCAGATGTAAGAGATGTGGGTTCAATCTCTGGGTTGGGAAGAGTCCCTGGAGGAGGGCATGGCAACCCACTCCAGTAATCTTACCTGCAGAATCTCATGGACAGAGGAGCCTGGCAGGCTATGGTCCATAGGGTCACAAAGAGTCAGACAAGACTGAAGCAATTTAGTACACAGGAATAGCTCAACAACTAAAAATAACCTAATTTAAAAATGGGTAAAGGACTTGAATATTTCTCAAAAAATGATACAAAAATGGCCAACGAGCAAATAAAAAGATCCTCAACATCACTAATCTTGAGAGAAATGCAAATCAAAACCATAATAAGGTATCACCTCACACTTGCCAGGATGCGTAAGTCAAAAACCAACAACGAGTCAAACAGAAAATAAGTGTTGATAAGGATGTAGAGAAACAAGAACTCTTGCCCACTGTTAGTAGGAATGTAAAATTGTATAACTCTTACGGAAAACAGTATGGCAATTCCTCAAAAAATGTGAAAATAAAATTACCAATATGATCCAGTAATCCCATTTCTGGGTATATATCAAAAACAATTAAAGCAGGATCACAAAGAGGTATTTGTACACCCATGTTCTTAGTAGCCTTATTTACAATATAGACTGTGATGGTTTCCAAGATATAGAACTATCAATACAGTCTAGTCATATCATACATAGATGGTGAATGGATATTGAAAATGTGGTATATGTACACAATGAAATACTATGAAGCCTTCAAAAAGGAAATATCATATTTATGCTATAACATGAATAAACTTCAGGGATATTATGCTAAATTAAATAAGCCAGTGAAAAAAGGCAAATACTAAATAATTCCACTTACTATATAATAAGTATCCAAAGTAGCCAGGTACTACTTAAAAGAGTAGTACTCTTTTTTAAAAAAGAGTACAGTGGTGGTTTTTTTAAAAAGAGAGTACAGTGGTGGTTTTTTTTTAAAATAGAGTACAGTGGTGGTTACCAGGGGCTGGGTGGAAAGGGAAAACAGGGAATTGTTTAATTGGCATAAAGTTTTAGTTTTGTTAAGAGAAAAAATTCTGTAGATCTGTTGTACCACAGTGTGAAAATGTTTAACGTTATGGAATTGTACACTTAAAAATGGTTAAGTTGGTAAGCTTCTGTTTTTGCCACATTAAGAAAATAAATCATTCACTTATTTTCTTTCATTTCCCTCAACAGCAGGGAAATAAAAAGGACAAAGAAAAGAAATTCAAGGACTTCAGTAAGTAGAAAAAAACTAAGAAAACAATAAAATGAAACAGGTAACCCCACACTCTTACTGACTTATTGATAATTTTCTTCCTAATATGGAAATATCCTGAACTTCAAGTGAAACTGTATCCTATGGACCAGATAATGGAATGTCGTGGGTAAAGGGCTTTTGGAGCTGGAGAGCTCAAATACTATTCTGACTTTGCTACAAATTACTGTGTGACCTTGGGTAAGATATTTTCATTCATTCACTCATTCATTCATTCACTCATCAAAAGGTCTGTTTCCATATGAGTGAGCCTGGTCAAACGAATCCTAGGATCGATTTGAGGAATAAATGAAATAAGTCATATAAAACAGTAGGTATTTCACAAGCACTCACTAAGTGCTGGCTATAATTACTTTGGAGCCTAGAGAGCAAGCGAAGAGCAGCATTTCGACTAAAGGAAATCTAATGCTCTGTTCCTAAAGATGTGCCTCATTTGTCGATAATTATGGTGCTATCAAATCGGATACTATTTAGCAAACCCTCACTGACTCTTACAATTCTTGTGGTCCTCTCTTCTAAAGAACTCTTTCCGAGGGAAAAGCAATGTCATCTCAGGTGTTAGAAAATGTTTGCTTTGGGAACAGCGTTTTCTACCCCAGAGGCGGTGGAACCAGGGACCTATACATTAACCACTGAGTTCCCTGTTCCTCTCACTTCACTAGGGACCTAGGCCTTAATCGCGGATGAGGATGAGGAGGGAGGGGATCACACAACCACACATCCAGATATAAAGCCCCATCTGGTAAGACAGGACCAGATGAATCTCCTGGGAGAATGACAGCTGGATATTCATGAAAACCGATAGGGGAACCGGCAACTCCAGCCGGTGCCTCAGAGCCTGCATCTCGCAGGTAGGCCGGTGAGGAGGGAGTCTCGCGGAGCCCACCGCCGGCCCGGCCCGGATGTTCAGGGCCCGAGTGGGGGTGTGTCGGCGAGGAGCGTTCCGGGGGTCCGACCGGAAGGGTCGGGCGGGTGGGGGGCTCCGCGGCTCCCTAAGGGGCGACGGTGGGGGCGGGGCGGGCTGCGCGGCGGCCCGGGGACACGGCGGGGAGGAAAGGGACAGAGGGCCTCACCGCGGGCCGAGGGCAGTGGGTAGAGCTTCTCGGCCTTCTGAAGGAAGCGCTGGGCCTTCTCGCGGTTGCCGGCGTTCAGGGCCTCCCGGGCGATCTCCACACATTTCTCCGCCTCATCCCGGTTCCCCTCCATGGCTTGCGCCTTCTTCCGTTTCCTGCGGGAGCTCAGCAACGAGGGGCGGAAGCCGCCGCCGCCGCTGAGGAGGCAAGGCCGGCCGGGGCTGGGGGCGTGCGAAGGCGAGCGGGGAGGAGCGCAGGCGACCGCGGCGGCGGGGCCCGAGCGCACTGGCGGGCTCGCAGCTCCGCCTCCTCACGGCGGCCTCCCCGCCCCCCGCGGGTCGCTACGGCGGGAGCCGCGTCCCTCTGGTCCCCCGGACTGGGCTCCACAGCCGGGCCGTCAGAACCCGCTCGTTGGTCCTTGCCGGCGCGGACAGGCTCGGGGCCGACCGACCTGGAGGGTGAAGGGGTTGTGCGGGCGATACCAGGCCGGCTGGCCGCCGGAGGGGCTCCCCTGAAGGGGTTCCGTCGCGGCGTGGACCCAGCCGCCTGCCTCAACAACGCGGTGCCCTCCAACTCCTAGTGCGGCCCGAGAACGTGGCAGCCCCCCTTCCTAGCGACCGGGCAACGAGTGAGGGTGGGGACATTTCGTTTTCAAGAAAATTCCCAGGCATCAAATGCCCCGCCCCTCGGCCCCCCTCAGCCTAGGTCAGCCTAGGGAGAATTCGGTCAGGTGTGGACCCGGCTGCCAGTCCCCGGGACACCGCTTCCGCCACAGCTGTTCAGGAACCCAGTAGAGCGTCCTTTGACCCCAATTCCTGTTTCATTGCCTTCTTTCATTCATACTCCCATTTTTCTGACTCAGTGCCATTAAACTGTTAGTACATCCCAAGAGGTACAAAGCAACACTTCAGATAATTTGTAGTTCGCACTTATTCTGGTGAAAACCAAAACGCTAGTAACCATGACCAGAACAGGGCAGGAATCAGCTCCTTGGCAATGTATTACCTCTATAGGTAAACTTGGGTTTTCTCCCTTCTCCCATTTTAATCATCACCCTTGTGAAATACTCGCCATGTTGGTATCCTCAGTGAAGGCAAAGGGCCCACCTTTTGCTTGGTATTAAGAAACTAAGTGTCAAAATGATCCACTTAACCTAATTACAAAGTAACTATTTTCACACATTGTTCGGTAAAGATAGTCTGCCATAGCCGCAAATATGGTAACTCAGGACTTTCAAAGAGATCTTGATTCTTCTCTGTTAAATGTAAATAGTATGTTCCCTAAAGATGTTACCATATACTGAACAGTTTAATACAAGTAACCTTCAAAACAGCGTGTAGCACACTGAAAACATTATCAGTCTAAACTGAGAAGTGCCTTCTGTGTAGGTAGCTACATACAGGACTTTCCTACCTGGCCTCTGCTCCCCACCCTCACCCAAGTGCCCACAGTACTCTGGTGCAGTGCTAGCTAACACAAACAGCAAACAAAGCTAAAGAACTGAGATGGTTAAACTTAGCCTAAAAAACATCAACTTGTGCTGAAGTTTTAAAATCTTTTAATAGTTCATTACACAGTATTTAAAAAAAAATACTTGGGCCTTTTAACTTTGTTGATCTACAGACAGAATTAACAGTGATTTCAAGGGAAGAAATGTGCTTAAGTTATTGCTAGGTAAGATACCTATTCAAAACAAAGCTGTTCCTACTATAATCAAGCAAATTTTATACACAACTAGTTTGGGATATGACCTTTATTGAGCTTATCCACCAGAGTGGAAATAATGTCTGTACAAAACCAAATGTTTGTTACTATAACTTCTGCATCACAATTAAAATCCAAACAGTTTTTTAAAAACAGTCAACTCAATCAAAACCCACTACTTCAGAATCAATAGCTTCTTTGAAGCCACAGTAACACTTAAATATGGTTAAGACTCAAATGCAGAAATTTGGTTGGTTGGAAAGCTAATTAAACTTCCAACTTGCTCAAATAGAATTACAAAAAGGCAAAATTGTGTTTTTCACAGAGATACAGTCCACTGGAATCACCAACACTGGACAGCTGTTAGAGTGTTTAGAGTCCTGAGATAATAAGGAATCCAGGCGTCCTTTAGACAGTCTTCTGTTGTCCTTTCTTCCCAATCAGAGATTTGTGGATGTGTGGAATAACACCTAGAAGAGGGATAAAAGAACACAGTACTTTAAAACCCAGAGTTTAATGTTCAGCTTGGAAGATGTCTTTCAATGTGAGGCTAAGTGCAGAGTAAAAATTCAGAAATACATAGAGAAATCAAATTGGTCATGAAACCATGCTACAGATCAGTGAAAATATACTGTGTCCTCTTCTAGACTGAAAATTACTAGAGGGAAATGTAAAAGCCAATTCTTTTCTCTAGAGAAATTTATAAGTTAAATATTTACATACCACCACCAGCAATTGTAGCCTTGATGAGAGAGTCCAATTCTTCATCTCCACGAATAGCAAGTTGCAAGTGACGAGGGGTAATACGCTTTACCTTCAAGTCTTTCGATGCGTTTCCTGCCAATTCAAGTACCTAGAAGGCAGAATGAAATCAATCTCCTTCCAACTTTCATTAATGTCAAGATCCAGACAAGAATCAAATCTTCATGATGAACGCATATCTACCAACTGTCATCTCCCCCACTACCTGAATGGCAAGATAAGCAAAAGCCATAAAGAGGGCACGCAATTTTATTTCCTAAGGCCGCAAACTCGAGCTCTGGAGGATCCCCATCAAGATCACCAGCCCCCCCTAGCGTTGTCGGAAGCTTCTCGCCGCGTTCAGAGCCTGGGAGTTTTCTTGCATCACTTTCCTCCTTCCCTCTAGCCGCCTCCCCCCACCCCCTCCCAACCTTTTCCAGATTATAGGCGTACACCCATTTACCTCTGCGGTGAGGTACTCCAGGATGGCTGCGCTGTACACAGCGGCAGTCGCGCCCACACGTCCATGGCTGGTCGTCCTAGATTTCAGGTGTCGATGAATACGGCCCACCGGGAACTTCGTTTTTAGCATACACAAACAAAAATGCACAAAGATAGACGAGTCAAAGATGGTAAAATTATACGCGCGCCAAAGGCAGGGGCATGGAAGCTGGTGCAGCAACGCGCCCCAGCACAGACACACGTGATCGCCCCCCCCATATTTATTGCATCGGTAAACCAAGTCGCGACACTATCACCCACGCAAAGACGAAACGCTCATCCAGAGCGATGATAAACGAGAAGAAAAGGAAAGAAAAACGCCACGATTTCCAGAATGCACGAACCACCACTGACCTGCAAACCGGCTCTCTGCGAGCGGGAAACCGCCTTTGTCTTGGCCTTTCCGGAGTCCTTCCCAGCCTTACCGCCAGCCTGCGGCGCGCACACGCCCGCGAGCGAAGGAGCAACGCAGAATATAGGATTACCAGAGCAGCGCGCCCTTCCCCCACCGCTCCGCGGCTCGGGCGCGAGCGCGGCCCCGAGCCCAGCCGGGGTCTCCGGCCCGTGGCCCCCAGCGGCGCCGCGCGCGCCACCCAACCGTCACCGCCTGCCGCGAGATCCGAGGCTGCTCCGCTCGCCGCCGACAAAACACCTCCCCCTGCTCTTCCAAATCCTGTCTCCGCGCGTTCCCAACCGTCGCCGCTTCACCCCCATCTCCGTGTGTAACGGGTTTTTCTCCCGCCGGCAAAAACCCGCGGAGTCTTCGAGCGTCTCCACCAAGTTTACCATTTCGAATTCTGCTGAAGCTCTAACAAGCAAGGCAGAGAAAGGACTAGTCAGACACCCAGCGAGAACCCGCCGCCTACTCCTCCGTCGCACCGCGATTCAAACTGCGCTGTCTCCCGCCTTCCCCGCTCCCTTTATACTGCAGAATGTTCCCTCATCCGGGAACTCGGATTGCTCATCCCACCAATGGCTGCCACCCGCCCTCGGGACGCGTCCTTGAAGCTTCAGCCAATGAGAAAGCGAAGAAAAGGGCGGAGGGGCGGGCGCTTCGCAGCTCGAATCCCTATTGGAGCGTGCGGAAGGAGGTGGGGGAGGGCGGAGGGATTGGAACTGGGGAGAAGAAGGGCACGGCGGCGGGAGGGGAGAAACAGAGCGAGCTCTGCTGCGGGAGCTAGGGGACCCCCCGCCCCGGCTTTGGTCACGTGTCCGAGAGGCGGAGCTGAGAGGCTCAGGGGAGGTGCACGCAGTATCGCGCACCCCACCATCACCCGTTCGCCTTCGTCTCGTAGCCTGATTCCGGAGACCACGTGAAGTCTCCGCGGGGTCTAGCGCGCCCCACTTCCCGCCCTCCCCTTCCAAATGAGCACTTCGAAAGCAGAGACCCACCAGTCCACAGTCTTCTTCCGAGGCCCAGGGTACCTTTTCCCCTGGTACCCTCAGCATCCCCCAGCTTTTTCAGTCTGACAGGTGGCGCGAACGCGTCCAGTGAGAGGAGCCCCAACTCCTTCCTTAACCACAGCCTTGATAGTGATTCCAGCCTTCTAACCCCGCTGGGCGAGTCTCGAGCCACCGACTCATCATGATCCGCTGCTCCCACGTCATCTTCAGTTCTAACTCCCCCTTCTTTCCTCACGAGTTTTGAATGCCCAACCTCCCCCCCCCCCACCCCATTGGGATACTTTCACGGAGAAAACGGTGATGAAAGCCCCCTTGCTGGTCTGAAAAGACACTTTGGACTATACCCCCAGAGGGCTTGGCGTGAGACGGTATTCTTTAATCAAATCATAAGCCGTATTTTTCTGGAGATTACACATCAATGGGTTGTACCTATAACCTGGTGACTAAAGTTGATTTAATGAAACCTCAAAGTTATTCTGTCAACTTTTCTATGCTAAACAGTTTGCTACATGACAAATGTTCGGTAAATGTCAGTGGGGTAACTTCTAACGTGAGTCAAAGACACGTGGTCCGTGTAATCAATTCCAAATGGTGGGCTTAAAAAATAGTGCTGTACACACAGTACTATCATAATGCCAGCTACTTAGTCTTCCAACTATCAGATTAATAACACCTGTGTAAATGTCCAGCTGCTTGAAGACAGTAATGATCTAAATCTTTTATATTTATAGCATTTAATGTATTACATTTTAAATATAATTCAGTATTTCTGACGTCAAAAAAATTTAATATATGTATTCTTAAGTACTGTAGTTTGAGTTTCAGTTTGAAAGATTTTATCAAATTCGAGGACCCTTCCATATCTGATAGATAAGTTCCAGAGAAGAAGTTCCCAACAATTTGACAGAAAGTTTTGTTATTTTCTTCCCCTTACAAATGAGGAATTTTTACACTGTAATCAGTAGGAACAGTTAATCAGTTCTCCCACTGAATTGTTACA